TTGACTTGTTCCATATCCTATGGTGTCTCACCTGTACTGGATTTACGGAATGTAAATAAATTCAATTCAATTCAATTCAATGTAGAATGTGGCAGATTGAGTTTGAGGACCTTAAATATATTTACATTATAGCTAGGTAACTGGGATTCAAATCCTGGAAGGGGCAGAACTATTTCTCTCTATTACTATATTCAGACTGGTTCTAGGCCCTGCCTATACTTCTGTCCAGTGGTTGTTCCCTTGTTGTGAAACAGCCACTATCTGAAGCTGACCACTCAGCAAAGCGAAAACTGCATGGAGTTTTACCTCATCCTCAGATGTCTTCAGGACAGGTTCAACTTTGTTATTTGTTTACTTTCAAGATTTGCGAGTTCAGTTTAACAGAGTGCCTGGGAGGATTAACATTTCTTTCACTCCAAAGAAGATTTAAAGAAAGTTCTTTGGAAAAATTAGAGGATAAAGGTTAGGGGTATATAGTTGGAGTGATGTAAGTCCATTTATTGAAGAAAAATACACTACTGGGTGATGGGGTGGAGTGCTCATGTGTAGTTGATTGAATAGTGAATGAAGGGGACCTGGAAATGATAGTATTAAGGTAGTGTAGCTCAGGGTTATATTCTTACAGTGTAGAAACTTGCTTAAGGTTGTACTGTTTCATTGACGTGAATCTGTGTTATTGTGTCTTATCTTATCTTTATAAATATACTTTGATCATGTGTTGTTAAATTCTGAATAGATAAAGTCAGAATTATGAGCATTTTATATGTCTTTGTTCTTCATATCCATGCACTTCAGTTCCTAAACAGGGGTCCTGCGATTATACATTGTTCCTTGCTTCTTATTCCACTCACATCGAGGACAGCACTACGTCTGTTGGTATGGTTATATAAGCATGTACCTTAAAGTACACCTGTTTATGTCTGTTGTTTGTCCTGTGCCTATATATGTTTTCAGAAATGCCTGGTGAAGAGAAAAGTTTTATACAGATTTAAATTATACTTGTGGTCCAGTTGCGTGCAGCTACAGTGCTGTGTGATAAATGACTGTTAAAGACAGCCAACCAACTGTTACTTGTCCTCTCACCGTTTTGCATACCTTCTAATTTGTTTTTAATTCTTTGATAAATAATAAATGTTAATATTTTGCCTTATGGTAAAATAGTGAGGCCTGTACCACAGTTAGCAACCAAAAGTGGCATTTCCAGCACCACAGCAAAACTTAACGTTGACAGCATGTGAGTAGAATGTGTTTAACTTAGCTATGTTCATACATTGTCATGCTGAGCAAGGAGGGTAATTTTCAAAGTCAGAATCTATTTTGAACAGTTCCATTTCATTCAATGACCATTTACAGTCTTATGTCAAATGGACATAAGAACTTAGGACAACTTAGCTAAAATCTACAGAATTAATTAAATGAAATTCTCTCGGTGTAATTGCATCAGCTTACATTCAGTTTATACATATCAGTAATTGCACCAAATCTTCTCCGATGATAGCCATGTCTTGTCAAGCTAAGAGCTAAAAATCAGTGCAATACTTCATCCTGTTGGTACGCTAGGTGACAGGAGTGGCAGTTTGCATGGTCATCCATCCAACGGTAGTCATCACATCGCTTAACTTGAAGTCCTCATTTGTAAACTAGACTGTCTTCTGTTATTTAACATGCCCCTTCTGATGTTTGTCTAATCTGTCTGTATTATTTTGTGTGTGTATATATGTACACATGCACACACACACAAAATAATGCAGATAATTAGACAAAATCCAATGGAACAATGTGTGTATATATATATATATATATATATATATATACATACATACATACATACATACATACACTTGTCCCATCATTTCACAAGCCCCTGGAAACCAGCAGCATAAAATTATTTGGGCTGCTGTCAGCACCAGACGGTGACTTCCCTTTCTACAGCTTCATCATCAGGAAATTGTTCAGCTGAAAGATGATGTTTAAGAGGGCCGAACAAATGGAAGTCTCTTGGAGCAAGACTCATCACCTGTGACAATTCAGGCTAGCATATCGTGTCCTTCATCGTGGTAGCAATTGAGATGCTGTAATGCCGGACCGATTCTTTGCATTTTGTGTTGTGGGTTCAGCATGCGCAGCACCCATCATGCACAGACTTTGTGAAAACCTAACCTGTCATGCAACTTCCATTTGTTCGGCCCTCTTAAACATCATCTTTCAGCTGAACATTTTCCCGAAGATGAAGCTTTAGAAAGGGAAGTCACCGCCTGGTTCCACCAGCAGCCCAAAGAATTTTATGCTGCTGGTTTTCGGGGGATTGTGAAACGATGGGACAAGCGCCTCAATGTACAGGGAGATTATGTTGAGAAATAAAAGCATTTTTCAAATCAGTACTCTTATTTGTTTAAGTTCTGTATCCATTTGTAACTTACTTATTGACTTACCTACATAATTAAATGAAATTGATCACACTTGATGGCAGTGTTATTCACTTAATATACTAATCAAATTCAGTTTTGATCCATGCTGGACAGTCTTAATTATCCCTTTAGATAAGACCAAAATGTGATTTTTAAAACTCATTAATTAATTTTGGAATTTCATATAATTAGGACCAAAATGGTAAGCTGTTCCAAGTGTAATCAGAGCTAATACTATACTACATAACCAGCAACATGCAGCAGGGTCCTTGGGTACATAATGGTCATTGAGCTGATCAGTGAATCCTCTGCTTTATGAGAACTATGAAGGTTCCTTAACATGTTCACAAGAGCCTACCACATAACTGTGTCCTAAATTACTTGAATCCATTCTTCATCCCCACACCTAATCTCTTTTAGATCTGTTACACTATTTTCCTCACATCTGTGATCAGGTCTCCCAAAGTGGTCTCTTTTTTTTTTTTAATTCTCTTAGTGGGGGTGGAGTCCACTCGACATGGCGGCCACTGATTGGCCTATTGTACCAGCCCCAGGTGATTATGATGATGCAGAATTTGGTGGAATGAAGATTGGTAGGGGAAACCGAAGTACTCATAGAAAATCCGCCCCAGTGCCACTTTGTCCACCACATATCCCACTTGACCAGACCCGGGATCGAACCCAGGCCGCCACGGTGGGAAGCCAACGACTAACCGCTTGAGCTATAAGTGGTCTCTTCCTTTCAGATTTACTTTGTTGGAAATTTAAGAGAGGAGGACAAAAATGGAGTTTCAGCATTGTCACGTGTATCATTTACAAAAAGAACACATTGAGATAGACTTTTTTTTACATAAAGTTCTGTGGTATTAGCTTAAAGAATGATATTAAACTGAAGGTGAGCTTGTTGTTAAGACATAAGAATTCTTCTAGTGACAATATCATGAATCATATGTCACTTGTATAGTGCAGTAAGTCCATGATTCCTGCACATTCTGGGATCTTGCAGTGATCAAAATTTTATTCCATATTGTTATTTGAGTGGACTTTATTGACATTCTTTTCATAAATATTAACACAAATTATTAGGTATTGTATCTACATTGAAATAAGTTGTGTTTGAGTATAGTCTTATAAGATCTTCATATGTTATCGTGTGGCTTGTCCTGTGATCAATAGAATAGTGATCACATAAATGATGCAACATTGAATAATCTAAGTGTCTCATGATATATTGAGATTATTGTTAACTTCAGATAAATCATTGTCACCTACAGCTACATTCATTCATTTGTCTGTACTCCAGAAATGGCACATCCTGTGATCAACAGAATAAGGCAAAAAGAATCACATAAATGATGCAACATTGAATAATCTAAGTGTCTAGTGACATACTGAGATTATTGCTAACCTCAGATAAATCATTGTCACCTGCAGCACCATTCAATCATTTGTTTGTACTCCTGAGATTGTACTTTCATATTGTGTAATTAATTTTAGTAACATATGAGAGACATGATTGTCATCACTGTTCATTAATTAATTGGGAAACAATTGTACTATGTGTATACTTTATCTATAAAAAATTGTGATAAGCTTTCTGAGATAAGATTATCAACACTGTTCATTCATTAATTGGGAGATACTGTACTTTGTTCAGACTTATATAAAGGAAATGCATCATACATATGGTGAAAGTTATGCAAGTCTCAAGAGATACCCCTGTTGAGGTTTCATTGATAAATTCTGTGATCTGAAGATTTCCACTTTTTGTGTGTGTTTATGAAAAGAAGAAATTTTTTAAGCTGCTTGAAGTTCAACCAGTTTTTCCTGCCTGTCTAGAGATAATTGCACCAGGTATCTCAGCGCACCCAGTACTTGCCTCCATACTGGAATTAATTTTATTCAAATTACTGAAAATATTTAAGAAACTGGCATTCTTTATGTTCATTCCTTATATTCCAGACATACTGATATCCTGAACATTATTCAAACTTCCATTTGTCTGCTAGTTTTCTTTGAGTACTCCCCCTCCCCTCCAGTTTGGAAGCAAGACTTACTCAGTCAGCTCATAAAACCATTTTAACTTCTGCACAGGACAGTATGCAAAAGAAGAGTCTCATGAAGAGATCCATTTCTTGATACTGAATTTGAAATAGAAATTAAGAACAAGTAAACAGTTACCACATGTGTATAAAATCCTATGCTTTAGTAAAGATTTCAGTACAATACCAAGTTGTAATATTGTTTGGAAGAAGCAGATAGTTACTGGCATCACATCCTGCCACTTGTATTCTCAGTTCTTTATAAGCCTGTAGGATTTGAGGTTCTCACAGCAGTGGTTATGAACAGTTCTGTCTTCTGTGATATAACACCATGTAGTCCATTGAAAATCAACCAACATTTCGGAGGAACATGTCTGCATCTTCGGAGCTGAATAATAAGCCAAGCTAAAATCCAGCACGAAGTAGGTAGCAAGCAGGGCTCTTAGAGCCCAGAAGACAGAACTCTATAAGCCTGATTAACACGTGAAGTATGTGTCCAAAATGCCAAGTCTGTCAAGTGTGCCATGACTTTCTTATGCATTTATATGTATTGGAAGGAAAAAATGTTTGATCTAAACCTTTTTTTTTAACTTTTTGACTTGCTGTTATGAAATGACTACATAACAGTGGCCACACAGGCTAAGGCATGAAATGTCTTTGCCCACTAGAACACTAGCATTATGGGTTTGAATCCCACTCAAGGCATGGGTGTCTGTTTATGTTAGGTAGCAGCCTTGTGATAGGTTGATCCACCCTACAAGAACCATCTGTCTTAGATTATGACACTGAAGTGACACGAAGTGTTTCACAGATACTCTGTGTTCCTAGTGGGAGCAATAAGAATACAAGAAGAAGAAGAAGAAGAAACAGGAGGAGGAGGAGGATGATAATAACAACAATTCAGCAATTATGGGAGGCACCAGTCACTTGTGTGGTGTATGACTGTTGCTTAGGGTTCTGTATGTATTTACTCATGCATTTTGTTCTTTTTTGGAGAGGGGTGTTAATACTGTATTTCCTTATTTTCTTCAACTTAAATTTTTTTTCAAGAAAGACAGCTGGGGATAGGTGGATGCATGGCTCACCCCTCCCTACTGGTATTCATACATGAACAGTAGGATCAAAAGTGGGAAGGAATACTCCTTGGAGTACATATATTTTCCACATTTGTTCTTCGTAGTTTGGCATGCTTCATTGCTCAGGAAGCATTATATGCAGGTAAAACAAACACAGTCTCTGTGTGTGAAGAAGACCATAAACCTTTACATTGGCACTTTCATTAAGTGATAGAGGTTATTTTTTATTTATTTATGACTTTTAACAATGATGTCTGTAGCTCAAGAGTGTAGCATCAAATGATGNCTGAAACGTCGGTTAACACCACATATACACGGTGCCAAATCCCAGAAGACTGCTTTCTTCAAAGAATGATGAATTGGAAAGGTTGAGGAAAGAAGTGGTTATGGTCAAATTTGAGGTACTATGCTGGATTTTACTTGAAGGTACTGAAGATAACCATGAAACCCCTCAGATTCATGGCTTTACCGACTTTAATGAGAATTTTGTACACAACTTCTCTTCTAACTGGTTCATGGGTTCTCTTACAGTTAACCACACTAGATTCATGGTATACCAAATGCAGTCAGAATCTTGTACAGCACTTCTATCCCAACTGAATCATGTGCTTTCTTGTAGTCTCTACATAGTAAGCTTAATCTCCCATTGTACTTCTGTTTTTCTCCGAAATCTAATAAGTAACTGGTCAGAATTCACACTGATGCATTTATATATGGAGTTAATGCTGAGAGAGGAATGCTGGATAACATTTTGTATGTAATTGAAGACAGTAATATTCAGTAATTACTGCTGTCAGCTTTGGTATGCTTCTTGTGAGTAGCAGTAGAAATTTTTCTTTATATAGAATAAATATGTTTCTGGATCTCAGAATGCAATATGTTACTTCAGAAAATTATGATTGTTTTACTAAATGTTTCTGATCAACATGATGTTAAAAAATTTCCAAAAATTAAAGTTGATATGTGTACCTCAAACTGTACTTAATTTATGGAAGCATACACTGTATTGTATGGCCCAGTTCTTTTATTCAGGAAACAAACCTATTAACAGTTCAGTTCTAAAATAAATAGAAACTTTGATAAATTGAACTGATGCCTCTTTTTGATGATTTATATAATGAAAACATTTCAGCCCTTCAGGTAAATTATTATTTTACATATAAGATTTGTGGATGATAATAAGAACATGTCCAAATAATAGTTGCAGCCTTTCTAATTTACTTTTATGAATTAAGCATTATTAGGATGATCAGATCAAGAGGATGAAGTGGGTGGGATGAGAAGTGTGTACAAAATATTTTTTTCATAAAAGCTGAAGGAAAATGACCACATGGGAGACTTAGGCATGGATGAGAAGAGAATGTTCAGATGGATTTTGTGGAAATTGGATGTGAGGGTATAGCCAGCAACACACAACAATTTCTTATTACTTATACTACTAACTGTCCACAGTCAGTATAGCGACTGACTACAAACTGGATGACTGAGGAGTCAGAGTTTGAGTCCCAGTAAGGTCAAGAATTTTCACTTCTCAATCCCATCCAGACAGGCTTTACCTTTACTAATAGCTGTCCAGACTGGATGGGCAGGGTTTGATTCCTGGCAGGGCAGATTTTTCTCTTCTCCCTAGTGTCTAGACCAGCTGTAAGGGCCAAACAGCCTCCTATCCAATGTCATAATGGGATGGTGCTTATTTATTTAAGCACAGGTGCAACTTAATCCTTATTTTAACTATACAGTTTTAAAAGTTTGGTTGTAATAAGCTATATTGTGAAATGTTTCAACTCTGTCAGGTGTAATCATGGCTTATACTTAAATGTGAGAAAGATAAACATTATTAATAATTGGAATGTGTACTGATACATATTTCTTTATTGCATGTAATTGACCATTTGGTAATATTATGATTATGTATTGCAAAATACTTTGTTAAAAATGGCATACAATAAGATTGACTTAAAAGCAACTGTGGGAGCATCCCCACAGCGTCTGGCAGACAACCGTCACCCCTTTCAGAAAGTGCCAAACTGGCAGCTGTGACCAAAGAGACACGGAATTTATACAATTTCCAACTACTGCGACTTATATACCAACTACATATATTTATAAACTTCGCCGTGACTCCGCCTTTCCGTGCACGGCCCAATGGATGCGCGCCATGACGACTGCAACTTTAGCTCCGCCTCCCGGCCGGTAGTATTTAAGACCGGGAACCCAAGGTGCAAGCAGTTCAACTCGAAACGGCAACGCAGTTACAGGCATCAACTCCACTTCTGCTACCAACTGACATAGCTGCCGCAAGCCTTCAGCGAACGCATCTTCCGCTACGCAGCAACCGACCGAGCCAGTCGATCCTACCGGCACGCTCAGCACGGCATCACCGCCTAGACAGGCCAGCCAACGCTTGAACATTATACGTGTATTCCGTGTTCTGTATCGTTCTGTATATTGACTTTAAAGGGTTCAATATATACAATTGTACAGTTTCGTGTGGTTTGTCCATTGGAGTATTGACGACAATCCCACACAACTAAGAAGATACATATATGCTCATGTTCGATAAATAGATACAGCTAATCTAAAATAAAAACATGAAGTGAATTATAAAGGTCAACATTTGTAGTTTTGAAGTAATATATAAATACCTCGTGTATAATATGTATATAATATGTAGTAATTGTGTCAGTCATATTTGTTATGTTCTGGTGCAGTCTGTGAGATATAATTTATTATATGAAACAAGTCCCATTAACATGGGTTTAATTTGGAAATTTTAATCAGTCATGGCAGTTTAAAGGAAGGTAAACATGTATTGTAAATAAGGGTCTTTAATTTTAATTTTCACAATAAATTCAAAGTAAAAGTAGAACAAGTGTTATTTAATAATTAAACATGTTACAAAAACTGCTCAAAGTATGTGCCACTGACTTTATGCATGTTAAGCCCAGTAAGTTGTTGAAGTCACTGGGAATGATGTATGAACAAGTACACTTACCATGATGACACTTAAACAGTTCCTGTAACATGTTTTTCAATAAAATAACATTTACTTTAGTTTTATGTAGAAATATTGCAGAATTTTTCATTAAAAACCATCATCAGTGGTATGGCTTCATCTTACTTTCAAATTTCCATGACTCCTTACACTTTCCAAATTGGGCCCATGTTAATAGGACTCATTTTACTCAGAATCGCTTATAAAATTTAGCTGACTCCTGTTGAATCATGCTGTGTTAATCCAATTTATTCTAGAGGTGAAACATCAATTTAAAGTCCATTGCGATGGAAATTTGGCTGAAGCTATCCATTCTTCTCTGTGTATTTGGTTTTGTGAAGGAGTTCCGTCCATCTGAGCCATTTGTTACACCATATCTTACAGAAGAAGGGAAAAATTTTACAGATCAGGTAATTTTTGGATGGCAGGCTTCTTGAGTGACAAGATGAAGGTGTGTTGTACGGCATTCCAGTTCGTAATTTTTAATAACTGTGAGCAGCAACCTGGGTGTACATGAAGCATTAGGGATAAAGATATTGGTTAAGAACTGGAAAATACGTAAGTGAAAGAGTAGGGTGTTAATATAAACATCTGAAATATTTCAGATGAATAAATAAAGTATTTATTCATGATTTCATTTGGAACACTTCATATGTAAACATAAAATAATATTTATTCCTTGTGTTTTGTAATTACACCTTGTTCATTTCTCAGTTATGTGAATAGTCAAATTTATGTGACTGAGATTAAATTTCTGGGATTAATTATAATTAATCCATTAATCCATTCCATGAAAGAGTATCATCAATAATTATTGATGATACTCTTTCATGGAAACAGCATATTGATCATGTTATTAATAAAATATCCATTGCATGTTGTGCTTTGAGAAATATAAAATATATTGTACCTTTAGATACGTTAAAGCTAATTTATTTTGCTCATATACATTCTATCATAAGTTATGGCATAATTTTTTGGGGTGGCTTCTCTTGTGTTATCAAAGTTTTTATATTGCAAAAGAAAGTTATTAGAATTATGACGAATTCTAGACCAAGAGAGTCTTGTAGGGACATTTTTAAGAATTTGGAAATAATGGTGTTCTACTCTCAGTACATATATTCATTACTTTTATACACAATTAATAATAAACATTTATTTAATTTTAACAGTTAGATTCACAAATACAAAACTAGAGCCCTCAACAATTTATATTTACCTGCAGTGAACCTAATAAAATACAATAAAGTTGCGTACCTATCAGGTATTAAAGTTTTTAATCATCTTCCTCAAACAATAAAAAAGTTGGCTACTGATGGGAGAAGTTTTAAATCTGCACTGAAGAGGTTTTTATATCATCATTCTTTTTATTCCATGAATAAATATCAATATAATTGGTCATAAGTGTGTAAATTTGTAATGCATTTCATTCAGTTAATTTAGGTAAATTAAATTAAACTGTATTAATTTAAATTTTATAGTAATGTTCTTTTTAAATTATGTTTATTAATTAAAATTGTATTAAGTTTTTTATTTTATTATTTATGTTGATTGACTGATGTATGTGATTTTAATTATGTAACTCATGTAATTCATTATATGTATCTGAACACATCTATTATCAAGCCAAAGCTTGAAATTATACTGTGTGGAGATTTTAATGTCAACTTTCTAAGTAACTCAAATAATGTTCACCAGGTAATCTCACTTTTGCAAACATATAACTTGTGCCATGTTGTTGACTTCCCTACAAGGATAGCTAAAGTGTCAAGTACTGCTATAGACAATATTTTTTTGGACTATAATAGATTAAATACCTTCCATGTGTGCTCTGTAAACAATGGGCTTTCTGATCATGACGCACAATATCTAGTGGTAAATAATGTTTTTGGAACTCAAATGAAAAAGAATAGACTTGTTAGGAAAAGACTATTAACCAAGTCTAGAGTCTTAAATTTTATTGACATGTTGCAAAATGAGAAATGGGACAATACCCTCAGTAACACAGATGTTAATGCTAGTTTCAATACATTCTTGAATACTTTCTTAGTTATTTTTGAATCGTGTTTTCCAATGCAATTTGTGGTAAATGCTGCATACAATAATCAGTGGATTACTAATGGTATTAGAGTGTCTTGTAGACGAAAAAAATCTCTCTTTATAATGTGCAGAGCTACTAGTCATCCTCAATTAAAAGAGTATTATACTCGATATTGTGCCATATTAAAAAGAGTCATTAGTAAAGCAAAAGAACTGTACTATAACAAATTGTTATCTGAATGTACCAACAAATCCAAGGTATCCTGGAAAATTATTAATAATGAAGTAGGTCATGCATCCAAAAAGAAGTTTATTCCATCAGAATTAAGAAGTGATAATAAAAAAATACACATCAATAAAGCAGCGGAGTCTTTTAATACATTCTTTATAAACTCAGTGGAAAAGCTAATTAGCCAGTATCCTATATATGAAGGTGTACATCCTATAATTAGAAAGAGCCTTCTTGATAAGTTTCCTGAAATAGCTAATATTCCAATTACCTTAACTGAAGTCTTAAGCACAATCTCTTCACTAAAGAATAAGACTTCCTGTGGATACGATGGGCTGTCCAATAAAATTATCAAGTTATGCGGTGAGCAGATAGCTAAACCACTCACCTATATCTATAACTTATCCTTATATACTGGAATATACCCAGATCGGCTAAAATATGCCAACATCATACCATGTTTTAAAAAGGGTGATGCATCCGAAATATCTAACTATAGGCCTATTTCTCTGTTGACAGGATTTTCCAAATTATTTGAAATATTAGTCTTTAATAGGTTAAAACAACAGTTGACAAATAATAATATTATTGTTGATGAGCAATATGGATTTAGAAATGGTGCATCGACACAAAATGCAATTTTTAACTTAACAAACTCAGTATATAAAGCATGGAATAATAAGGAACTGGTAGTAGGTATTTTTTGTGACCTTACAAGGGCATTTGATTGCGTTAACCATGACTTGTTAATTCAAAAGTTGGAACATTATGGAATTAGAGGATCCATTTTGAAATGGTTTGAATCATACTTATTTAACAGGAAGCAGAGAACTCTATTACAGACTCAAAACCTTAACACTTCTGTTTCCAGATGGTTAACTAGCAGGCATGGTGTTCCCCAGGGCTCAGTATTGGGTCCATTACTGTTTAATGTCTACATCAATGACTTTCCTAGTATCCTAAAAGGTCTAGCTCATATCATTCTTTACGCAGATGATACCACTATTATTGTTTCTTCAAAAGATATTACCACATTGAATCAAAAAATAAATCTAATAATGAATCGTATCCATAAATGGTTTCAAAATAACCAACTAGTACTTAATCTGGACAAAACGCATGTAATTAAATTTGCCACTCCTAAGGCTTTAGACTATCCACTACATATAGAATATAATGATCAAAATCTTAATATTGATGAAAATGTTAAGTTCTTGGGTATGTGCCTTGACTCTCATCTCAATTGGAAACAATATTCGATTAGTTTAATAAAAAAATTATGCATTGCAATTTACATGCTTAGAAAATTGCAACCCATTGTGAATGGACAAGTTTTACGTATCGTCTATTTTTCCCATGTTCAGGCTCAACTCAATTACGGAATTATTTTCTGGGGCTCATCTTCATCAATGAAAAGCATATTTGTGGCCCAAAAAAGAGCAATAAGAGTTTTGTTAAGGCTGGGTCCTAGAGATTCATGTAGGGAAGGCTTTAAGAAATTGGGTATACTTACAGTCCCCTGCTTATATATATATACTATGATATTGTTTGTAATTAAAAATTATAATATGTACCAAGCAAACGATAACATACATCAAATAAGTACCAGATGGCACAATAGGCTACATGTTTCTTCTGTGAGATTATCTTCCATTCAGAAGGGTGTGCATTTTACATCTATTAGAATATTTAACAACCTGCCACAAAACATATATATCTTGAAAGACAATATTAATATTTTTAAACAAAGACTAGAGGATTTTCTGGCTTCAAAAGCATTTTATTCGGTAGGTGAATATATGGCAAGTAGGTAATTTTATGCATTGTTACAGTCTGTTTTCTAAGACTATGTTCTAGCAAAGAATTGTAAGATGACTGATTTCTATACTGTTGTACCTATCAATGTTATAATTATTGAATATTTTATTGTCTAGACCAGGTTGCACATTGCAATGTCAGTTTGGCTGTGACGAGTTCAATATCCAGTCCGGTTTCCGGACAAAGGATCTGTGAAACCATGTAGCTATGTTATGTTATGTTATGTTATGTTATCAAAGGGACTATTTCCAAATCCTAGGTTTTATGCCCATATAGATATATGGAAAATAAATTAAATGAATGAATCTTTCTGCTTATATACATTCACTTCACAGAAACAGTTAGATACTGAAGGTGTTCAACAGCACTTATGACAATAACATTTTTTGTAGTTTTAGGCAAATGCTTATGTGCTTAATTACAATTTTGAAGACTACACCACCATAAGTAATTATACCAATAAAAGCATTTCAATACTATTGACTAATTATAATGTAAATTACATTACAAATATAATTTTAATACTTTCCATAGGTCTAACCATAATTTTTTAGCTTATCAGTGTTTACTATTAGAAACTAATGCCATATTTTGTATTTTTTTTACATGTTTATGTCCACAGGATATTGAAGTCATATTCTCTACTGGGACATATGCATATCTTGTGGAGATCATATTTGTGTTTTTAGTGACTGATTTATTTCGTTACAAACCTGTGATTGTTCTGGATGGTGTTTTTGCAATCATAACATGGAGCTTGCTTATTTGGGGGAAGAGTATTCTACAAATGCAGGTAATGATTTTTTAACCTTAAACTTATTATGTTCACAGATGCTTATAGTATAAGTATTACTATTTCTCTACTGCTGAGAAGCATAAAATGAGTCCCATGAACTTCCGATTTGCTAAACCAGAAGGAAGACAATATTTAGTCTACAGTACTTTCAGACTATGAAATAAATTGGTAGTTACAGAACAGCTTTTTTTTCATACACTTCACACACTACATTCTGTTTCTACCATCTGTCAGATTTTGGCCAGTGTGTTGGTTTCGCTCATATCTGACTACTTATTCATTGGATATCTTGCCAAGAATTTAGATACCCACTGTATGTTCCCAGGCTGTAACTTACAAATCCCATTAGGTTACACAAAAATATTTGTAGGTGTTTGAAGAGGAAAATGCGTTATGGCAGAAATGTGTGCCACTATTCTTTTTTAATGACAGTAAATTTACATACGCAATTATATTTTTTGTAATCTTCTTGAAAATTGTTTGTTAAAAATTAACAGGAAATCAAAGTGACATTATTTTAAGCATTTTTATTCCTTGTATTATATGTGCTGTACATTTTAAAGACAAGTTTCATTCAAGTATCAAGTCTGTGACTCAAAGTTCAGAAGATTAATTTTACTTGCACATATTTTTTAGCATCTTGCTGTGGGTATTGTATATCCTGGAACAGGTGCAAGAAAATAATTTCTTCCATATCATCTTTCTCTCCACTTTAATGTTTAGCATCACAGAACATAAACTAGCATGAAGCTGTTAGGGACACCCATTTTAGGCATGCAGAGCTGAACTCTTTGAAGTAACAAGTCTTTTCCTGAAAAGAATTTACTGAACTAATTATTCTGTTCTTTACAGTTTCAACTTAACATAGAGCTTAACATAATATATGAGGTATGAATTTTTAGACACTGTATGTAACATGTTTCTGACATAAGAGAATGGAATTTAACTCTATAAACATCTCATCTGAATGCACCAGACTATATACCTTCATACCTTCTCTAGAAGTTACGTAATTGTCTTGCATTATTTTTGATCCAAGTGCTCCAGAAAACTCTGAAAGTAAAAAATTTGTGGTATCAGTTTATCTTTTAAACAGTTTATTATGATTAGAATTGTCCTACATAACTGGAACTTTCAAAGATTGCAGAAATAGAGATATAATTTATATTTTTAAAATGTTCTGTAATTGTCATGAATTTAAATCCATATCTTGGTAAATATGTTCATAAGGATATTTTACACTGGAGATAATAGATGGTAGGCATGAGCGTGAGGTTGCTAGATATTTGAAATACTTCTTGGACATATGAATAACCCGTACAAACACAAAGCATACCTCAGTGGTGAAATCAGTAGCTGTATGATCGTATGTAATGTTACAGGTAATGGAGGTGTTCTATGCATTTTTCTTGGCAGCAGAGGTTGCATATTATACATATATATATGCCCAAGTAGACAGAGAACACTATCAGAAGGTGACCAGTCACACAAGAGCTGCATATCTGTTTGGACGTGCCTTGTCTGGTATTGTTTCCCAAACTCTAGTGTCAACTGGTACATTGAACTATTACCAGCTTAATTTCATTTCTTTTGCAGGTAAGCTCATCATTCCTGTTTAGTATAATTGATGTCTCTGAAGTTATGCTGTTTATTCTTTTCACTACAGAATTGTTTCAAACTTCCTCAACTATTACCATCTCGATTTCTAAATCTGTCATAGGATACATTATAAACAAGATCTGTTACCAGTGAAATTATATTTTCTAATTACTGTCTGTCTGAAAACACATCAAAATTTTGAGCTGTTCTATAAAAGAAATGAAGATAAAAAAATATAAAAAAAGTTATATGTACTCTCCCACAAAAAAGTTTGATCATCATGCCCAGACCATTATAAGTAAATCTGAAACATGTAGTTTCAGACATCCATACAGGTGTCAAGTGAGATAGTGATAAGTGAAATGTAACATGATGTCCTTGATAAGGAGGTGACACATTTGCAAGTTGCTGCTGTTAATACTGTTCCCTGGTACAGTGATATAAATTTCTGTATTTCTTATTATATTCTTTTTCAGCTGTGATTTCAGCCACAGTCTGGGCATTGTTTCTTCCACCTGTAAAGCACAGCATCTATTTCAATCGAACAAATATTGACAGACAAGATGTAATTACTGGTAATGAACACCATGGAGTTATCATAGAGGACTCAGGTAAGAAAGAAAATATTCCAAATTAAATTATATTTCTAGTTTTCTGGTAGTTTTGTTTTTTTGATTACATAATATGAACACAATGCATTTTGTGCTATAAATGTAAGGAAGCTTTTCAACAAACAAGAAGTACATAGAACAGTTAACTTACTCCATGGAGTTGAGCCCTTCTTGAGAAGCCACTCTTACTCAGCCACTCAAGATTTTATAGAACCTGAAGGTTCATTACTGTATTCACAAGAGTCCTCCACTGGTCCTTTTCCTGAACCAGATCAATCCAGGACATACCACCCCATCCTCTCTAAGTTCTATTTTAATATTACACTCCCACCTATGTCTGTGTCATCCTAGTGTTCTCGTTCCTTCCGGCTTTCTCACCAACATTTTATATTAATTCCTCTTCTCCCCCCTGAATGCTACATACCCTGCATATTTTATCCTCCTTCACTTTATTATTCTTATTATACTTGGCCATGGGTACAAGCTATGAAGCTCCTCATTATGCAGTTTTCTCCAACATTGTAACCAGGAACAGATACAACAAAATGCCAACACAGAAGGAATACACAGTGCACCCTAAGAAAAAATATCATTCATGGTGACATACCCAAGAAGACAAATGAGAACAAACTAAAAACTATAACATTTTCATGAATAGCTTCTATAACATATGGTATAACATCGAACCCCAGGCAAAGGATGACCTACAATGCAGAACAAAAACACAAAAAACAACCTAGAACTTTATATTCAGTGACAAGAGACAGGGCAACACATAGATTGATAATATTTAAAATGATAAAAGAAGATGTTCTGTTGTAATTGTTTTCTGTCTTTTACAAAATTATTTTGTGTCCCCCACTGCCTTCCTGAAGCTGCAGTCTGCCTGTCCAGCACAAAGTATAATGATCCTGCAGTCAAATTTTGATGCAGTTCAATTTGTGCTTTGTGATAAAAATCTGAATAACTACGTTCCTCATATTGGGTCTTAAATTTTACGGTCATTTTTAGTTATATTTTGTTATATTTCATGTCCACATGTGCAGGAATTCACTGGAAGGGAACTTCATTATATATTGTCAGTCTGAAGAATATTCACAAAGAATAAAACTGTACAAGTTTTCACATGAGATATTGTGCATGTACTACTTGAATTTTTTGTTTCAGTTTCAAAAGTACCTTCACCTGAATTATCACAGAATGCTTATGCTGAGACTCATGAATCTATGCCGCACTCTGTTGAAACACATGACACCAGCAGGTTACAGAATGTCCAGAAAGGACTTACGAATCGCTGGAAAATTGCATATTACTATCTATGGAAGGATTTCACTAGTGCCTACACTAACACTTATGTGGTCAAATGGTCTTGCTGGTGGGCACTTGCAACTTGTGGATTCTTACAGGCATGTGCATTACACTTAAGAAATACAGGGTGATTCATATAGAACCAGCCCGACGAAATGAGGTGTAATATAAAATATACCATACAGATATTAAAGTAATTTACACATATCTTATCATGGATTGTGTGCCGTGATCAGAGCAGGTGTTGAAAGTGTCTGCCGTTTTCAAGTAGGCATTAGAAACACTTGCTGTTCAACAGTGCACTCGATGACTGTTGCCTGCCCACTGCAGACACGTTTCGGCATTGTCCTTGACCTTGCAGCATAAGGACTGCCACTTACCGGATCATGCACATACCATTCAACTTAGCACGGCCCACAGATTATTATGTCATAATTGTGAGCAGTTATATGCATCACCTGCGGAATTATTAGCAAATTCATCGGGCCGGTTCTATATGATTCATCCTGTATATTTAAATAAAACCTCTGACAGAGAATGTCTATGCCTGATATTTGGTTGTAAGTTATGTCAGTTTATTTGTTGTCTTACACAGCAATTTTAGTCATTTCCTTTAACATCATCCCTGCCACCACCTCCTCCTCATCCCCCCAGTCATCCACTATTTTCTTTCTTTTATTTTTCCTCTTCCCAGATTAAGAGGAGAAAATCAGAACTGAAAGACATATGATGTACATTGTCATAGAAGCCTGAAAGTTGGAAGCCATGATACTGAACATAATGTAATAGATTTGATCAACATGTTGCTGGGCAACAATTCTGTAAACACAGTCCAACATGCAACATTAGAGGAAGCTATGTTTTCTGCACTTCCGACTGACAAGCCAATAGACTGACTTGATAGCGATCATGTAATATACATGTTTCCTGTAGGTCCATGTCTTTTCCGCGACTATATAAGGAAGAATGATAGAATTCGTTCAAGGCAGTTATGAGTGAGTAGTAGTGGCAGAAGCACTCAAACAAGAAAATAACAGTAAGCTGGAGGAGTACAGCAAGCAAAAAAGAAGATTGAAGGGTACAAGAAATCAGCCTTTGATGATTTAATGTGTGATTTGAGGACTTTGTGTGTGCTATAGCGCAAATTGGGAGTGCGTGATTTAGTGAGACTTTTATAGTTCCTGTGTTATAAATCTGTGAAGACCAGTGCAGATAGACTGAAGAGATTACTATGGAGTGCTTTGTATTGTGAAAGTCAGTAACAGTGTAACATTTAATTTAGTTACGAACTGTAGATGGTTACTAATCCAGTTACCAATCCAAACCTGTGTCTTCAGTCAGTCAGATGTGACAAAAATTTTATGTCAGCAAGGACCTAATATGTGAACTGAATTTAAATTTATGAATACTAACTGGAAGATATTCTATGCCTGACAGATTTCTTTGTTGAATACTGTATCAGGTAAAATTAAGATTAGGACAACACAATTACGTTTATGGTGGTATATTACATCCTTCTCCAACACCAGTGTGGTGTTGGAGAAGGATGGAGAAGATCAGTTGGACCGATTATATGAGAAATGAAGAAGTGTTAATTAGAGTCAGTGAGCAGAGGAATATCCTACATGAAATAAGAAAACGGAAGGCTAATTGGATTGGTCATGTTTTACGCAGAAACTGCCTTCTAAAAGAAGTTATCGAAGGAAAGATAGATGGGCGGATAGAAGTGACAAGAAGACGAGGAAGAAGACGTAAGAAGATGCTGGATGACCTTGGGGACAGAAGAGGATACTGTCATTTGAAGGAGAAAGCTCTAGATCGCATTAATTGGAGGAATTGTTTTGGAAGAGACTGTGGACCTGTCGTCTTGACAGATTACTGATGATGATGATGATGATGATGATGATGATGATGATGACAGATTATCCACTTAAAGAGTTTTGATATGTATATTTAATTTTGTTCCCCCCCAGTTTGACTTCCTTACTCTTACATATAGTCAGATATAACTGAGAGAATTTTATTTTCTCTCCATAATTTGTTTTGTAAGAAGATCTAAATGTTCCAATTTATTTTTGATAAGGGGTGAATTTCCTAATGAATGATTGTTTGGTGATACATGTTCAGCTTATTGGCATATTCAAATTTTGCTGATTGGAATAAGTCTGCATACTGAAAGTTTGTTGAGGTATGAAATGATGCAACTGGGTGTTATTTGTTATGTATTGAGACATTCTGATGAATGCAGTCAGAAGGTTGTCAAACCAATTTAAGTGAAGACTGAATTGCTTCATACTGTAGCTGTAAAATTCCTTCTCTCTGTGGGATGGTTGAGAAAAAATATTTGAGAGATTTATGTCATATGTTTTTCTTTAATGCTCATACTGCTATGGACTGGTGTATTATTAAAAGTACTTCTAAAGACAACCTGATTATTTTCTTTTTTAGGGCTCCTGGTGATCTCAGGATAGGACATTGAATTCTCATTCAGAGGGTTCCCAGCTCAATTCTCAGTCTCACTTATGTGCAGAATTTTCATTTCACAAATTTAAACCTATACCTCTTTGAAAGATTAGAAGAAGCCTTTTGGGAATATGAAGAATATGAGCTTCCCCATCCCCTATAGCTCATGTTATGCTGAAGCACTCTGCCTGCTTACCATGCTCCAGAAATGTTCATCCTATCACTGGGTCAATAATCTGTCCTCATCATCATCATCAGTAATCTGTCAAGACTACAGGTCCACAGTCTCTTTCAAAACAATTCCTCCACTTAATGCGATCTAGAGCTTTCTCCTTCAAATGACAGTATCCTCTTCTGTCCCCAAGGTCATCCAGCATCTTCTTACGTCTTCTTCCTCGTCTTCTTGTCACTTCTATCCGCCCATCTATCTTTCCTTCGATAGCTTCTTTTAGAAGGCAGTTTCTGCGTAAAACATGACCAATCCAATTAGCCTTCCGTTTTCTTATTTCATGTAGGATATTCCTCTGCTCACTGACTCTAATTAACACTTCTTCATTTCTCACATAATCGGTCCAACTGATCTTCTCCATTCTTCTCCAACACCACATTTCGAAACTTTCCAGATGTTTCTGATCTACTGCCCTAAGTGTCCATGTTTCAGCCCCATACAGAGCTATGCTCCAAATGTAGCATTTCACTAGTTTCTTCCTCAAATTTAAGTCCAATTTGCTGGTAAAAAGATTCTTCTTCTTGCTAAATGCAGCTTTTGCCATGGCAATCCTGGATTTAATTTCACAAGTACACCTTCCATCATCTGTTAACAAGCTACCCAAATATTTAAAACATTTCACATTCTCCACTTGTTTTTGGTCTATCTTTATTGTGACTGGGGTTGGTTGTCTCGAAATTTTCATTACTTTTGTTTTCTCCACATTCATTTCCATGCCATAGCACCTTCCAATTTCAATTAGTCTATCAATCATGCCCTGTAGCACAGTTTCTTCCTTAGCCATTAACACAAGGTCATCTGCATATTTCACAGTTTGAATAATTTGCCCTCCTACTTTGAAGTCACCGAGCCCATCCAGAGCTTCCTTGGTAAGGCATTCGCTGTACAAGTTGAACAGAATTGGTGATAAACAGCATCCTTGTCGAACTCCTCTTCCAATCTGCACACTTCCTGTCTCCCCCCTGTCCAGTCGTACTCTAACTTTCTGATCCATGTACAATTTGCTAATCAATCTTCTTTCATGCCAATCGATACCTGTTTCTTTCAGGATCTGCATTAATTTGGTCCAGTTTACCCGGTCAAATGCCTTCTGCCAGTCTATGAAGCAAACACACAGTTCTTCATCTATCTCCAAAGTTCGTTCCGCTATAATTCTCATCATCCCAATTGCATCCCTGGTTCCTTTTCCTCTTCTAAATCCAAACTGATCTTCTCCAAGTACATCCTCTATTTTCCTTTCAATTCTTCTTTTAAGTATCTTTGCTATTATCTTTGCTGTATGTGCAATAAGACTTATTGTGCGATGGTCGCTGCATTTTGTAGCTTTTGTCTTTTTCTTTAAGGCAATCATTGTAACTTCTGTAAAGTCCTTGGGCCACTCTCCACTTTCATATATGGTGTTCATTAGTTTTGTCAGTGTTTTCAAACCACCTTCTCCCAGTAACTTGAGCACATCTCCAGGTACATCATCATCTCCTGTAGCCTTTCCCTTCCTCATTTCCTTGATAGCTTTTTCCACCTCACTTTGTAAAATATATGGTCCTTTCTCGTCTGTATCTACTTCTTCTTCCGGTTCAACTTCTAAGGTTTCTGGCCGATTAGGTCGATCATATAGTTCTGAAATATAATTTTCCCAAATTTTCAGCACTTGCCTCTGATCTACTATTCTATTCCCCTGGGAGTCTTCGATGCCAACATTTTGAATCCCATGATTCTCTTTCCATCCTAGTTCTTTTGTCTTCATGTACATCAAATCATAACGGCCTGTTCTTTGAAATTCCATAATCTCATTACATATCTTCTCAAGATATTCCTTTTTGGCCCTGTCCGTGGCTCTTTTCAATTCATTCCTCAGTCTCCTGTATTTCCTCCTGCCTTCTTCATTGTTGACATTCTTCCATTTCCTTCGCTCCTCCATTTTACTCATCATCTCCTGTGTAACCCATGGTTTTCTTGCTATCTTCTCAACTTTACCTACCAAATCACTGATAGTATCTAACATGCATTCTTTTATATCGTTCCACTGCGCTTCAGCATTTCCGCTTTCACCTTCAATTGCACCGAGTTTCTCTTCTAGAGTCTCTTGCACGCTTTGTCTTTGAGCATATAACTTCTCCAAATCCCATCTGGGTCTGCGCTTTCGAAATCCTATAATTTTCTTCAACCTGGTTCGGAACTTGGCAACCAGCAAGTTGTGGTCAGAGTCAATGTCTGCCCCAGGAAGCGTCTTCACATCCTTCACACTGTTTCTGAATCGATGTTTCACAAGGATGTAGTCCAGCTGATGCCTCTTCCAATCCCCAGGTGCCTTCCATGTGTAAATTCTTCTCTTTGGCTTCTTGAACCAAGTGTTGGTAACAATCAATCCATTTCGTTCACAAAAGTCAATAAGCATTTGACCTCTGTGATTCCGTCTTCCTAGTCCATGTGATCCAACAATATTCTGATATGGTTCATCTCCAACAATGCTGTTCCAGTCTCCCAATATGATGCTGTTTGTGTCTCCTCTTCCATCTTCCTGAAGAATTTCTTCAATTGTGTCATACACTTTTTCCACTTCATCATCTTCATACTCTGATGTTGGCATGTACACTTGTATAATCAGTATATCTACCGGTTCCGCCTTTAACTTCAGAGCAATAATTCTGTCATTACAAGCAATCTTCTTAACAACACTCCTCACTACACTTTTATGCACCACTATTGCCACACCTCTTTCAGCCCGTTCACCTCCGGAATAATACACTGTATAATCACCGCTTCTTATTTCACCTTGTCCTTTCCACCGCACTTCGCTGACACCTAGCACAGACACTTCATTCTTCTGCATTTCCGTTTTCAAATTCTCCAATTTTCCTGCTTGATTCAAGGTCCTGACATTCCATGTTCCAATCTTGTATCCATGCTGTTTCTTCTGATCTTCGCACTTTTTCTTGTTGTAACGCCTGCATGACATTTCCTCTAGAAACACTCCCCCCCGGAGATCCGATTGGGGGAGTAGTTTACCTCCGGATTGTTTTGCCTCCAGAGGAAACATCTCGCATATATGGTATCTCTGTTTTTGGAAAGAGACTATCCAGGAAAAGTGATAATGTGGTAGTTTTTCCATTTGCTTTCCACATCGCAGTACAGCAGCCGTTCAAACCACTCTGGTCACGCCTGCTGCTATACGAACTTGAACCATCTCGAGCATCATTTGCTCTGTGCTTCAAGTCGCTGCTGATGACGCTGCTTCCGGCATCAGTTTTTGGTGTCTCTCTTCGTCTGATGCCTACCCTTTGACCTGTCCAGCAAGGGAGGCCCTGCCAGTAGCTACGCTACCGCTGGTATAGCTCTCAGGGTCCTTGGCATACTCAAACCCCCTCACCATGATAAGGTGGAGACACCACGAGGGAGAATCTGTCCTATGTGTGATTAAACTTCAGAAATGCATTCTGTGTCCTTGCATAGATGAGAAGTGGTCAGAAAGATCAAACAGGCCATACATGGAAACAAACAAACAGTGTTTTCTTGTTATTGTTATTGTTATTATTATTATTATTGGTGTTGTTGTTGTTGTTATTGTTGTTGTTGTTATTATTATTATTATTATTATTATTACTATTATTATGTGCTTATAATATGTTAATAACAAATTATTCACATTGCATATTTAGAAATATGAGTCATGATTAACTAATACTGTAATATTTTTGCATGTCATGTTTCTAATCAAGAAGCCTCTGTGCCCAAGATTTCTATCAGGCTCCTCTGTTTCCTTGAGATTGAATTTGCTTTGGGGGTGTCCTCACTTCCTCAAGATATGTAGGAAGGTTAAATAGTGGCATAGCATCAGGGACATGGGTTAATAATTCCAGAGGGCATTCACAGTATTGCATATACACTCACTCATGTATGTCAGAATAGTTTATGGCAGATTTGTTTATGGTACTGATAAGCTGATTTTTAAAAATCCTTCACTGAAACACTATATAAAAGAGAACTCAGTTTCAAATCAAATATATAAATCATTTTGGATGAGGCATCTGCCATGATGAAATGAACCAAATTTGTTCTGCAGTTAATAAATATGAATAATGAAAGTGGCATAATGATTGCACATGGAAAAATAGGTTGATTAAAATGCTTACCTTATATTTGTGCAGGTTCTTAATTATATCCAGTTGGTATGGGAATTAATCATTACTGAAAACAATATGGACAGTAATACTGAACTTTACCATGGAGCAGTAGAAGCTATATACACAGTAATTGGTAGGTACAACAGCTACACAGTGTGTGTGCATGCATGTGTATGCATTTATATGAATAATTATGACATTCTAAGACTCCTAATTTGAATGCAGTAATTATACCACGGATTCAGGGATGAGATTGCTATAAATTTTGAAACTGACACTTTTCAGTAATACAAATACCTTTCTTGCCATACAAGTATGTGGTGTTAATCACATAGCAGCAGGTATATATAGTGCAGAACATAAAAGGAGGCCCATTATTTAATAGAAGTAAAATATAATTATGTATTGAAATGTTTTAGATATAAGAAGAGAGTGAGTTACAAAACGTATGCACAGCATAACAATTCATGTGTGGTCACTCACTGCTACGTTTCTATACATTTTCAGCTTGTTAATGCTAATGTTCACATAAAATAGAATAAACCAGGCAAGGCAGATGATCTGTAGCAAAATTAGTCCAAAGATTCTCATGTTAGGTGATGACATCCCTCTCATTTAATTATTCTCGAAAAAATGGCTTAGGGGAAAATGTATTGGACATAAATGTGTGTTTCATTTTACTCTGATATTGATTTGAAACAATTTTTCTCCAGTAAATAGTTAATGAATTATGCTTGAGATGCACACAGGAATGCATGTAGGTCTTCATGTCAAGTGTCTGTTATTGTTGTCTGATTTTCTCTGTGGTTTCAGTCCACAAGCGAACTATACCGCGACTGCCACTTGTTGGCAAAGTTTTAATCAAAATTTCAATATTTCAACAAATTATAGTAAAACTTTTCAGTATCAAATTTTATGAAAATCTGTTCAGCAGTTCTAGAGTTGTTACATGCAGACAGATTGTCTGACAGACATGGCAAAGCTAGGAGCACTTTTGGAAATTCCCACTGTGAATGAAAAAAGGGATAAATAAATATTGAAGAACAGTAGCACAAGAAAGTGTTATAAACCTTGTCTCTCTTGTATCACCCATCCTTTTACAATAACAAATTTATGGGTCATTAATATTAATAAATTAAATTGCATTTGTGGTGCATGCAAAAATTTTGCTTAAAACCTGAAGGAAGGAGACTTCTTTCAAGACACAGGCATTAATGAGAGAACATTAATAAAATGGAACTTAAATAGATAGAATTAGGGTGTTTAACTGAATTCAATTGGATCAGGATAGTATCCAGTGACAGGATTTTGTAAATATAGAAATGAACTCTCAGGTCCATTAAAAGCCAGAGAATTTCATGAGCTTCTCAAGAGTGGCTGTGTTCCATGGAGTTCTTATGACTCAGTGCCATGGTTTCACTTCGCAGATGTAAAGCAGTTGAGCTATGAAACTAGCCATTTAGCTTTATCTAGTGATGGGGTTATAAGAGTCTGGGGCTTTTTATGACAAAAATTCATACTGCAGGTTGCATTAATCATATATCAGATAATGGTTACATTCATTTTGAAATATGCTTCACTCAAATTGAGTATAGCAGTATCTGATACAGAGATTTCAAAATAAATGTCTCAGAATCATAACTAAACTGCCATAACCGACAGCCACAAAAAGAAAGTGGGACTTTATAACATAAACTATTTAACTGACTAGACATTATTACAAAATACCCCTTCTACTTCAGACCCAAATCCCAGTGCTCCAGTTAATGGTAATGTTTATAAAAATTATAAATAAAATAAAAAGGTTTTGATTGTGTTATTATATTGGATTATATAAACATTAATGTAGCTAAATAGTTATAACCAAGAAGAGATTAAAAATGCCCGAGGGTTGATTTTTCAAGATCTTGTCTGGTTCTTCATTATTTTTAGAGACATAACATCATCCAGAGGGGTTTTTTGTTTCTGTGGCAAAGGTTAAGAAAAATTCCAGAACATTTCAGTTCTGCTGCACAAATAGATATGTTCTTGCACACTGTGTTATTTATGTACCACATTTTTAAAACTTCAGTTACCTCCTGCCACTACTCCTTGACAATCTATGGATCATCTGTGCCCCTCCTGCTTGGCTGGTTGACGGAAGCTACAGCGACTATTCAGAATCAGTGTTAAAAGTCTGGCCTGCTCCACACTTATGTATAAAGGTTGTAACTGAAAGGTGCAGACAAACTTTGGGCATGAGTTCTATATGCCAAAACAAGAAAAAGTATCCATGTCAACATGTGTCCAGAAACATTTAAAGTGTGAGTTATAGCTGAAAGAGTACTATCGTGACCTATTCAACTGATCTACCAATTTGGATGACCTATTTCTTTCTGGTAGGTTACTAACTGCCTGCTCCTGCATGTTGTATGTAGACCTTTGAATGAATTCTTAATGTTACCATTTACAGTCCATTTGAGCAGTCAGGTGGTGTTGGTAATGTGTTTAGCATTAATGTTTGAAGGGATTGTGGATGACTGTTTGGTATGCCCACATGTTTTGTCACATCAGCTAACAGGCGACCATTACTGAGAATTCCACTTGTATGATCTGTCAAAGCCACTGGAAGATACACCACTGGCAGTCAAAAACGAATGTGGTGCACTCATGATGGTGCTCTGGCACCTTTTAGACATGCCATGCCATGCCATGACAGATGGTCTCAGTAACACCTACCATGACTGATAGATATGTCACACTATCTACAGCTACCCCAAAATCTTTGAATGAATACAGAAGTCCATGATTAGACATGCCGAGGCACGTCGTTTTTGTATGTTGAATTTGAACCAAAGTTTGTCTGAACCTTTCATTTACATTCTATATAATATCTATGTTCAGGAGACAGGATAGCTCAGTCGATATAGTGACTAGCTATGAGCAGAACAGCTGAGGGGCCAGATTTTGAGTCCTGGTAGGGGCAAAATTTTTCTTCTCTCCACATCGTCCAGACTGGTCCTGGAGCCAACCCAGCCTTCTATCCAATGGATACCAGGGGCTGTTCCCCTGGGGGTAAAGTGGCGTGAAAGTGAAGCTGACCACTCCCAATTAGTGCTGAGGTCAAGAATACATGGATCTATAGTTAAGCACAAAGACAGCTTTACCTTTATCTGCATTAATATCAATAAAATCTGAGTTTATTAAATTTAATATTAAGAGAGTTCTTTTTCAAAATTATAATTCAGTCTAGTAACCATACTCAGATTTTGAGCAATATAAGCATATAAACTGGCCTGCTAAGCCAGACAGGCCTAGAAAGCTACCTAATGACCTTCCTCACCCCCATCATGCCAGCACTTCTGCAAGTGTAAGGTGTAGCACTGTCATTTCAGTACTGGTTTGAGTTCCAAGTGAGCTTTCTGTCAGTTTATTTGCATTTAAATTACATATTCACAGAATGAATGCATCCTGACTGTCAGTCCATTTTTAAAAGGAAACTAAGTCAGAATGCAGTTATTTGATCATTCATCAGAACCAAGAATGTTTGAAACATTGATTGAACCGAAAATTAATATTATGTCACTGAAGATCACATCCAGCTTTGCATCACACTTGTATAATTTATTCTTTAGGAGCAACAGCATCTTTAGGTTGTGGATGGCTACGCCTGAACTGGCAAATGGTGGGTGAGGCTACTTTAGCAATTTGCTCACTTATAGAAGGGACTTTACTCATTGTATCAACCATGGCCAACTCTTTGCCAGCTGCGTATACATACTATATCTTATTTGGAATCATCTTCCATACCATGATTACTGTTGCCAAGTAAGTTGAATTTATTCTGTAACAATTTCCAGCCATACTTTAGAGGTTTCTAACTGGGTATTACAGTGAAATACTGATTAAATGAACATCAAGTTAATGAAAGTCTTCAACTTTCAAAATATTTATTTTATTTCCTATCAAGCTTCAAATCTACATAAATGCAATTAATTTCTGGTAAGAAATTTAATTCGATAAATATTACAATGGATTTTATCAAAACATTGCTAGGCAACTGCTTGGTAAATAATGTATATTCCAGCACATATGCCACACAACAATGCAGTGGAAATATTTTCTGTGGTCCATGCCAAGCAACAGTGTGAGTGCTGTGTTTTCTGCATGGTCTGTGCTGTGTCTATATAACAGGAGTGTGTTTTCATCTGACATCAGATTAGTTTAGTACAGATTAGTACTGTGGTGTATAGACCCATTGCTAAGCAGTGACTCTGTAAACATCAGCCATTGAAAAGCTATATATCAGTCTTCATGATATTAATATAAAGTAATAGAATTAAAGAATTGTAAGGGAATGAATCAATCCATTACAATGTAAATCATCACCTTCTTGTTAATCTACCATTTCCAACCTCCTATGGAACTCAGAAATTCATTATCTTCAAAAGAGCCCATCACTGGGCCTGTCCTGAGTGAGATGAATCCAGTTCATACTCCCACTTTTCTTAATGGGCGCTTCCTTTCCAAGTTTTGAAGTAAAATTTTTATATATTTTTCATCTCACCTATTTACGCTAAATGTCCAGCCCCTCTCACATTCCTTTATTTTAACACCCCAATAATATCTGATGAATATATCAAACGATTCTTCTAATAGGTTATATATATATGCACATATATTTACATAGTTATTTTATCTACAGTACTGAAATTGCAGAACACTTGAATGAAAACAGCTATGGCCTTATCTTCGGTGTGAACACTTTCTTGGCTCTGGTATTCCAGTCCATTTTAACAGTAATTGTTGTTGATGAAAGGGTTCTGGCCCTTGATACACGTACTCAGGTAAGCACTGTCTCACATAAAATCTGGTTTCTAGATCACCAGCCATTCAACTTGTAGAATAACACTGATAATGTGGGACCATGTTAATTATGACTGAACAAGAAGTATGTATCAGCCTTATTGCATACACAAACATAGTAAACCTACACTGAACATGTAATGCCTGTGTATGGAATAAGAAATATTAATAATATCAAAATTAATTAAATTTAAAATATATAATGAACTTTAAATATATTTAAACTTCACAGTTTTCAAAGTAGGAATATTACAATCATTTTGATATCAGTATGGTTAGTTCTTTTAACTATGTGATGTCCAGTGTAATGGTGAAATATCTATAATTAAAAACCAGTGACAATAAGTGTAAAAATAACACTGATGTATAACATTGTAAGTGATTGTTAAATATGACCTATACAATAAAAAGCAACAGAATGCTACAGTATATGAGAACAAATATAATATGAAATCTGAACATGCTGAAAATGTCAATATTTATTATTCATATTTGTGTTTCATGTACCATCCAATGGAAAACTAGAAATTAAGAATGTCAATTGCAACCTATTTGAAACTTGCTTAACATTCCTTTCTTCAGCCGAGATCTTATCCACACTAGTATTTAGATACAGCACAAGTCCAGTGAAGTATAAAGTATGTTGCATACTTAGAAGACTTAGTGTAGAGTGATTTTTAGTGTGGAATTGGCAATACTGTTATAGTTATTTGTAGTTATGACCTGCAGTTGGTCAATAAATCTAATCATCAAGTCCAGAACCCATTATTATTAGTCATGGAACCCTGGACACATGACAGTACAAATTTTTAGTATAATTTGTATCTGCAGCTGTATGATATTTTTCTTGCAAATCATTTAATTCTACATTCATAATAGAAATTAATAATGTATTGAATTATACACACAACAGTTAAGGAGCAAGCAATAATTCTCATAACTTGAAAAACTCTCTTACATGTTATGACTCTTAGAGCAATAATTTTCATGATCAGCAGCATAAAATGGAAGAATTGAGTTCCTTTATTTATAAAATATCATTTTAGAAAGTGTTATGAATAGGTGACACAGAGGATGGACACAGTTGCTGGACATATGCAGTAGACTGTTCTTTTACACTGAGTTAATAGTCTTCAATTTAAATTGTCTTGCTATAAATAGGCCTACACACTTGATCATTTTATAAATTGTATTTTATTGTATGTCATTGCTAATTTCCATTTTTAGAGTTCAGAAATTGTCTACTGCTTTAGAATATTGTGCCATCTGTGTTTGTTTGCAGTTTCTGGTGTATGGTGGATATTACATGGTGCTTGGGATTTTATTTGGATGCATGTCTGTATTCACACTGTGCAAAAAGGAGATACGTGGACAAAAACTGTGGTTGCCAAAGGAGACAGAGTAAACAGCTAAGTCTTCAGTAATCTGAAATCTTTAACAGTGAAGTAAGAAAAATGACAGGCTCTTGTGTACATTAGATTAACAATTATTGAATGAAATTTTGGCTTCTTTAACAGTATTAAGACTAATGCTGATCCACTAACCATCTGTTGTACTATTACTCAAAATATACCTGCATGTGTGTTTCTTCTCTTGTCTCTTTCACTTTGCTCATATCCTCATCAGGTGTGTCTCATTGCAGTATGAATGATGGTTTTGTTAATATGAGAAAAGGAGTGTTATGTTCCTAAACTTTAAAAGTACAGGGACAACAGTTTGGTCTGGCCAGTTTTCAAATTCTATTGGCAACTGTTTCAAGTAATTTTAGAGGTAATATGACATCTGATAATAAAGCAACCATACCGATTTTGTAAAAGGATTTTTTATGTTATCGATTAATGTAGGTGGTCATGATCAGTGAACTCTCCTGACTTTGTACACACCTATCCACATCTCTACAACGCCTAGAAGCACTGCTGAACCTTCAGTACTGATGTCACACTGCTCTGAATATCTCCAGCAGATTCAAAATAAAGTTCATTCAGTTTTGGGAGTAAGAAAAAGTCATGTGAAGCAGTATTTGCCAGGTGTGGTGGTACTTACAGATTTGTATAATAGAAAGAGCTGTGGAGTTTTTTTATTTTTCATGACATAAAATCCACTTGATCAGTAAAGATTTCATCCATCATACATATTTTAAGTCTTGAAAGTGCAAACCTTGATTGGCCCTTTTGCTGAATGTTATTTTCTCAACATTTTTCTAAAATACTAATTTTATGGCAAAAATATGAAACAGCAGAACAAAAATTAATCTTCATAGTCCAGTTGTAATGGCAGCAACCACCGCCATGTCCCTCAACCAGACCCCCTTCTTTCCATTTCCCCCTCTCCACATGCCCTACGCTTGCGCCCTTCATCCTTTCACCAGGGACTGAGAGGCTCGTCTGAACACTGGAGGGCCATTCTGCTGCACGCCGTGGAAGAGTCTGGTCTCGGCCCAAAATTATTTTTTGGAATTGTGGTTTACTAAATTAACGGCGGAGTTGGGGGACGCTTGTACGTTGTGCCGTCCTTATCTGGGGCAGTTTGTATTTTTTTTATCAATTATATTATTATATT